ACATCTTCCTAAATCCCAAATCACAAATTTTTTAAAAAAAACTAAAAGAAGTATACAGTCATCAGAACGGTTTTTATCAACCCCACATAGCTTTCCTCGAACTATCTACCTGAAGAAAAGTTGAGAAAAAGCTACGAGGAGTTGATAACAAACTATTCTGTTGACGGTGAACTCCTTTCAGTTACGAATTGAGTATTTTATATTTGTTTGGTGTGTTTCAAATGAATCACATGTGGTGGTATTTATGGAGATTTGAGAATTTACTAGGAAATTGCTAGGAAAAATAGGTACAAAATTTAAATTGGATATTTACTATCTAGTTCCTCTTAATTTCGTAGTAAGAAAACCAGTTTGTCCTAAGTTCCTAGTAAGGCTTTACTAGGACTTTACGAGGAAATGTTTTACTAGGGCTTTACGAGGAAAGTGACTTTTTCCTCGTAAGGGCCACGTAAGTTTACTACGACCTTACGACGAAACTTATTTCTCGTAATTTTACGAGGAACTTACGAGGAAAACTGGTTTCCTCGTAAACTGGAAGTAAACGCGTAGTAATTTTACGAGGAATAATTTTCCTAGTAAAGTTTCCTAGTAAATGCTTAGTTTTCTTGTAGTGATTAAAAATCAGAAAACAATGACATATTATTTATATATAATAAATTTATTTACCTTTAAATTTTAACTAGTTATCAAATAATTTACCAATAGTTATCAAGTAATTTGTAAAAATTTTACAAATAACAAGTAATAAAATAAGGCAAGTAATTTGTAAGTCCATCAATTTTCGCAAGTATTTGAAACTGCAAATACTCGTTTTTAACAAACCAAGTACAAGTACAAAATTTGAATACTCGTACAAGTCAAACCGAGTACTAAGTATATCGAAAACACCAAGGGGATGAAACCTAAATAGGGAATGAGCGTACGTGGAATACTACTCATGAACCGTGGACGATCGGGATATTGCAATTGCTTTCTTTCTTCACAAGTCATTTGAGAAGAAAATGTCACACAAGTCAAATAGTTTGGCAGGCATTGACTAGAAAAACCGAGATGGACTTGTATACTTCTAACAAAACCAAGTCGTATTCAAATAACTGACTTGGAGAAAAGTTAAGTTAAAAAAAAGAAAGAAAAGATTCTTAGCAATATGAACATTCCGATATGAAGTCATCTACTTGTCAAATTCTATAAAAATATCAGAATAATGGGGAGCCTAATCATAGGCTACAAACAAATACAATTCCAGGCCACCTATATAACTTAGAAAAGAATAATAAAAAAAAAATGAAATTGACTATAGAAAGGAATAAAAACGAAGATAAAAGACTAAAACCCGTTTAAGGGTCACGGGTCGCCCGAGTCCAAAAAAGAAGGTCCACACGTATTCGGGGGAAATGTCAACACATCTCCTCCTTCTTCCCTTTTAGACCTTCTCTTCTCTCTCTCTCAATCGTCCTCAATTTCAGTGTGCGTGTGTCTTGGGGTTTCGATTTTTGGTAAAGCTATGTCGGCGGAGAACTGTTTCGGCGGTGGTGATCAAAGCAACACGAAAGGATTGGCTACTCACGGAGGTAGCTACGTTCAGTACAATGTCTATGGAAACATCTTCGAAGTTACTAGAAAGTACGTTCCTCCTCTTCGTCCCATCGGTAGAGGCGCTTACGGCATCGTCTGGTGAGAGATCTATGAAACTTGTTGGATTCTTGTATTTGATTTACTTTTGTTTTGGGATTGGTCTTAGTAATCAAGGTTGTATTCATACTCGAATTTTTGGATTAGGGTTTGATCGATGGAGCTCACTTTTTTACTCATTTTTGAAAAGTTTCTTTCTTTTGATGATATCTGTGTTCAGTGCTGCTACAAACTCAGAGACTGGAGAGGAAGTTGCTATCAAGAAGATCGGTAATGCTTTTGACAACATCATCGACGCCAAAAGAACTTTGAGAGAGATTAAGCTTCTCAAGCACATGGATCACGAGAATGTATGTATATATATCATCATTGAATCTCCCCAATACCTTTTATTTTTGAAAAATATTTATATTGTAAATTACTTTTTTTTATTTTGCGCAGGTTATTGCTGTAAAGGATATAATAAGACCACCGCTGAGAGAGAACTTCAACGATGTTTACATTGTCTATGAGCTGATGGACACTGATCTTCACCAGATTATACGCTCAAACCAGCCCTTAACTGATGATCATTGTCGGGTATGTATGCTTCAATTCAAACACCATGTGTCCCCTTTTATGTTAGAAGGTGAAAACATCTGTTTCTAGTTTTAAACTTCACTGGTTAAGGGAGCTAGAGAGCAATCCATATACACTATGTTCTTGTGCTAAGGTTGGTCAGTTAAGTTTTAGTATTGCTTGATACGCATAAGGTAGATTTTTTCTACAACGGCCATTATGTTTGTTCACTTTCAACTGTTTTACCATTTCAGAAACTGAGCTCCTTGTTTAGTCACTTGTTTCAATGTTATGTTTCTTTTTCTTTTCTGCAGTTCTTCTTGTATCAGTTGTTGCGTGGGCTCAAGTACGTTCATTCAGCTAATGTGCTACACCGAGATTTAAAGCCCAGCAATTTGCTCCTGAATGCAAACTGTGATTTAAAGCTTGGTGATTTCGGACTTGCGAGGACCAAATCCGAGACAGACTTCATGACTGAGTATGTTGTTACACGCTGGTACCGAGCTCCAGAGCTGCTCCTTAACTGCTCGGAGTACACCGCAGCAATCGATATTTGGTCTGTCGGTTGTATTCTCGGTGAAACAGTGACAAGAGAGCCCTTGTTTCCCGGTAAAGATTATGTTCATCAGCTTAGGCTTATCACTGAGGTAATCTATCAAACCCACATAGAGTCACGTTGCTATTCTTTAGTATTATCTGCAATTTGTTCATGAATCTGTGTGAAAGCAGCTTATAGGATCACCTGATGATACAAGCTTGGGGTTCTTAAGGAGCGACAACGCTAGGAGATACGTTAGACAGCTTCCTCAGTACCCGAGACAGAACTTTGCTGCTAGGTTCCCAAACATGTCTGCTGGCGCAGCTGATCTACTGGAGAAAATGCTCGTCTTTGATCCAAGCAGACGCATCACAGGTGAGTATTCCTATACATATATCTCTATGTTATCATTGCTTTTTCTTAACATGGTTCTGTTTTGTTGGGTGTATAGTTGATGAGGCGTTGTGCCACCCATATTTGGCGCCGCTCCACGACATAAATGAAGAACCGGTGTGTGTGAGGCCGTTCAATTTCGACTTCGAACAACCTTCTTTGACAGAAGAGAACATCAAGGAGCTTATATACCGTGAAACAGTCAAGTTCAATCCTCAGTAAGGGAGAAAGAGAGTTATAAGAAAGTAAACTCCTCAAAATGCATGCTTGTTTTCGTCTTGCTCTGTTTTTGTTATTGACTTTCTAATACTATTTGTTCATGTCTGTAATATTAATAACATCCTGAGAAATTGAAAACAAAAAAAGAACAACCTCTGAGCTGGGTTTGCAGAAAACGCCATATGCTTTAATGTACATACATTGTATTATTCGTTTGCTTTATTCTTACAGAAGTGGATCAAAAAAGTAGGGCATAACTCAAGCCCTAATCAAAACTGTTTCTGCCTGCTAATCTCTAGCTAAGCTTAAACTTCACTTTGCCTGAATGAGTGTGATTGAGCTACATTTATCTCCTTGCACAGGTTTCTTATGCTTTAGAATGTGGTTGACAAAGCACGCCGGAGGCAAACCAGTTGTTGCTTTTTTTCAGGTTACTCGAAGAGCGCATTCAAAGTTTCACTCATTAGCAGGCTGAAGAGTCCATCCTCAACCTGCAGAGCTACCTCTTCACGCTCCTCCTTCATCCGTTTCTCATTCCACTCTAGTCTTTCAATCTCTCTAGCACATGCTTGTCTCCTCTGCTCACCTGTTCCGCATTCAAGCTCTGATACTCTCTGTCCCTCTAACCATCCTCTTGCCTCCCTCACCAATTGCTCCTCAAAGTCTTGGTTAGTATCGTTTGTTCTTTGCATCAGTTCATCTCTGAAATAGTCCATTATCAGATGTTCTTCGTGGATCCAAATTGCATGTCTTTCTTTGACCCGGTCCCATAGCTTAGCTGCCTTCTCTTCAACCTCATCATCAGTGTCATTTTCAATCTCTGTATCACAACTTTCATCCTTGCAAGATTCCTCATCCCATTCGTCCAAATTGAAAGGACTAATGTTGGCCAAACTCTCAAACCGTTGAATCGTTTCCATGAGCTTTTGCTTGGTTCCTGCCAAAATCATTACACACATCGTGTGTTCTTATGAGTCCTAAAATAATTAACTAAAGAAATTAACATGCTTTGATTGAAATGGAGGAAAAGTAAACGTACTTTCCACGTTATCAAGGCATTGACTGAAAGAAGAGTCTGATGCTTCGTCATGTTGTATCTCAAGAACAGAGACGGGGCTGTTCTGCTCCTCTTCACACTGTAAGTCCTCCTGGTCATGATCATTGCATATCAGTCAAAATCATCCAACTATTATTAATTGTAGTGTAATACGTCCAGTTTATTAAATGCTAATGCAGAGCTACTCTTAGAAGACCTGTACATACATACTATTATTCTATGTATTTACCAAAGAAAGACAAAGACAGCTTCTGTTTTGTCTTCATGTGAATTTTTTTTCATTACCGAACAGCTGCACGTGCATTTAGAGACAGCATGGGGGACCGTACAGTTGAAGCAAAGTCAGCCCAAAATAAGATCACATATTAACTTTATTTCTTTGTTAAATATGATTCTGTTTACTCTTTTAATTATGCATAAATTTTAATGTTATAAGGAGTGCTTTTAAATGTCTTAATATAGTATTATTATTACCTCAGGTCCCACTACAGTGTCGGCGTCTGTTACTGCTGTGGAAGAATCTTCGCCGACACACTGTAACTTGTAGTTTTCACCACCTTCCTCTTTTTCAACGTTACCACCCCATGATGATGACGGTAAAAACTCTGATGTAAAGTCAGAGTCGCACCAACTGCTGCTGGATGTGCCGCTGGTGGTGGTGCAGGATCCTGTGGTCGTCTTGGCTGTGTACTGATGAGGTGGAGATGGTTCAAAACGTGATATGTCTTCATGCAGCAGGTCCTTGGAGGATCTCCAACGTACGATGTCTTTGACTCTAACGATGGTGGTGATGCGTGCTTGGTTCTCTGCTTTGTTCTTTGATGATGATAGCCGGCGAGAAAGGCTCCTTGGTAAAATCCCTGATGGTGTGGATTTAATGGCGTTGGAACGAAGGTTCTTAACTGCATTGATCACAGCTTGCAACGCGTTGGATTGTTTCTTCTTCTTATTTGGTATCATTGGGAAGGGGTTGAGAGGAGGCCTTCTTGGAATAGATTTGAACCCATTTGATGAACATGAATTTGAATCTTCCAAGAGGCACTCTTTGAGCATTCTCGGCCTTAGTTCCATCCTGAAACGCGGCTGAACTTGAAAAAATACTCGAGAAAATATCTTGACAGTTTAGGAGAGTTAATAGGGAGATGTATTTATGTGTGGCTGATGAGAGTTTGTGGAAAGAGAGAAGTAGCTTCTTGATGGAGATCTCAAGAAGAGGACATGCTCAGAGAAAGAAAGAAACAGAGTTTTCAGCAATAATAGTAATATAATGAAGTTAGTTGGTAGGGAATAAGACAAAATATGTGGGACCTAGGATGTTTCTCTCCTACGAGTTGCGAGATGCTTCTTGCTTATTTACTCATATTAGTTTATAACCGAAGCTAAGAAGGTTAGTTGGAGTTTTGTTACACTCAGTTCTTGTGTCTAGTCACAAGGTTTAAGTGACCTGGCGATGCCTATTGTGGTCGGTAGTGAGTAGAGAGTACTATTATTCTTTATTAAGAATGATCACAGTGAAGTTTTGGACGAGAACTGTTTCGTATAATCCTTTTTGTTTTCACTTTCATTCTCACTGCATGTTCAGTAAATTTCTTGTGTCTTTTGGTTCTATGTTCAGATAAACAGTGAAGGCCATGTGAATGATCCTATTACTTCTGACAGGTTACCTCCTCTATGGGGGGCTAAGTGTGTGATCAAGAGTACGTTGTTGTTTTGTACGCATCGCAGCTACTCCAAAAGGTTTAGCAAAGATACCTGTTGTGTTTTTATGCAGATAAACTCAGCCAAGGTAAGAAAAGAAAGGAAGCGAATACAGAGATGGATCACGGCTGTGATTCGGGAGAAGCCAAAACTCATTTGTGCAGATGGTCTACAAAAATTAAAGGGTACTTTAGAAGCTATCACAAATATAAGTGAGATCACATTTCTATCTCATTTTTTATTGGTGGTAACTTATATCAATCAACCAATGTGCAAACTCTTATGATGCATTGAATAAATATGATACTTAAACAAACAATATGAAAGAGTATATAATATTGTTGTCCCAAAAACTGAAAATCATTTACAACACGGCTAGAGAAGAAGCTTTTAAAAACACTGTAAGATTCTCAAATAAAAGAGAAATAAATAAACCCACTGGATTTAGCATCCTCATAGTGACTCAGACACTAAACCTCACCGTCTGATTCAGCATCATCTTCTTCCTCGCCGTCTTCCTCTTCGTGCCAACCATACTCAAAGTCGTCTATAGGCTCCTCGTGGATGAAATTCAAGAACTCACGGGTACTCATCTGCCTAAACGGCCTTTGCTCCACCACCTCTTCACCCATTTCTTTAGGATCACAGTAACTCCTCACCACATTCAACCCAAACTTCCCTGACTCGTCCAGATCCACCAACCGAAACGACTTTCCTAGTGATCTTCCCATCACTCTGACATGCCTCACGCTGCAACAACAAAAAAAAGACTTACTCTCAAGAGTCTTGCAGAAAGAACAATAGGGGAGAGACAATATTACCATATGTAGTATAGACCATCCCCTTCTTGTGTCTGAACTCGACCAAGAAACTCTATCAGCATATACCCACCAATGCAAACAACTGGCTCTGGAAGTTTAAAGTTCTGCAACCGATTTTCCTAAAAAAAACAAACAATGGTTAACAAACAACAGTTCAAGAACAAAACCAATGATTTATATAACACAGACCTGAACCATGGGAAACTGTTGTGAAGTGTAAGTCCAAACATAGTTGTTATTCTCCTGTGACTTGTTAACAAGGTGACCCAACCGGAAACGAACATAATGTGAAGAGTATATCGGTTTACCACGCTGAAAATAAGCTACAATGGTGGAGAAACACAAACAAGTATTATGTTAAATGAACTCGAGGAACAAATAAGACAAGGAGGATGGCATAGTCCTCTCTCTACCTTGAAAAGGGTGAATGCTGAACTCAGTAACGACACACAAATCACCCTTCAACTTATAAAGAAGTGTTTCAGGCACAGAAGTATTGTGATGTCCTGAACTAGACCAATACGAAGGTGTGCCACGAATTTTATATCTTTCATCAAGCGTCTCCAAGATACTCTCTTCTGGGAAGTTATCAGTGCTAGATGCTATGATCGCCTCAGCAATACAGCTTCTGATAGGAGAGGACGTGCAGCCTTTAGCCAAAAAAGTAAAAGCCATGTGCTCTCTTTCTGGTAGCTTTGTCTCATCCATGAGACTACTGCTGCTTGACCATGAGGACTCTTCATTAACACGATCCACGCAATTTAGCTGATGGAACAGCTTGAAGCACAGGTTCTTGGAGAGACCGTATCTAATCACTGCAATTGCACAAAAAAAATCAATTCAACTACACTGAGAACTGAGAAGAGAAAGCAATTAAAAGGTGAGATTTTTACCGAACTCTCGCCAGGAGCGTGAGACAGCACTGGCATGAACAAGATCTGATGGGTCGTCTAGACACGAAAGAATTAATAGAGACGTGTCCGTGTCAAGATTCTTTACGAAATCCATCTTGAAATTCAGCCTACAAGAAGGGTTCAATCGAGGGTTGAATTAGAATGAAATGAAAAACAAATGAAAAGATTACTTGAGAGCAAAAGAGAGCACTTGAAGAAAGAAGACGTCGGTCGCGTCAACGCTGACTTAGTTAACCGTAGGAGGGGCTGGGCACTTTACCCACCACCCGAATCCATACCCACAGCCCGAATCGACATATTTTACAGTTGTGTCTACTAAAAAAAAAACCCTAGGATTCTAAAAGTATACAAAAAAAAAAGGGAAAATTGTTTTTTTGACACTCACACCAAGTTCATAATTTTCTAGGGTTTTGTAAGAACCATCAGTCAACTCGGTTGTGTGTTACCTATAAATCGAAGCATGTGAATCCAAATAAGGCCGACATTGATCTTAATAAGATGCCAACTGATTCACGTATTGGTGAAGAGGAGGAACGAAATCCTTGTGACAATGGAGGTGTTTCAAGTAATGTTAAGGGGGTTAAATCGAACGAGAAAAAAAAGGAAAAGATGAAGCAAAACGAGACTGATGGAGATGATCATGATGCTGACAAGCATAAGGAGAAGAAAAAAGAAAGATGAAGCAAGACAATGTTGATGGAGATGATTATGTTGCTGACACCATCTTCTCTGAAAAAGAAAACAGAGAAAATTTGGCAAATACTTCTGTGATCGAGTTGGTTAAGAAAGGTGATATTCTCCTCAACAGAGGAGTGTTGAAGGCAAGATTTGAGTTATGTGCAATGAATCATAATTTTGACTACAAAGTTACCAAATCCAACAAATCAGTTTGGTGTATTAGATGCTCTGATAAGGTTTGCAACTGGGGTGTCCGAGCTGAGTGTTTGAAAGCCTCTACATATTTTTTAATTAAGAAGTATGTCGGTATACATTCTTGCGCACCTTCAACCAAAACTAGAGCTGATAAAACAGCTTCAGCGAAAACGATAGGCGGACGGACTGATCATGCATAAATTTGAAGGTGTCAAAGAAGGGCCTAAAGCAAAAGATATTGTTCAGATTATGCGTAATGATTATGGATATGAGATCTCTGAATCTTTAGCATGGGATTCTCATGAATTTGCAGTCAACGCTATTAGAGGTATTCCAGAGCTCAGTTATGGGAAAATACCAAAATATCTGCACATGCTGAGAGAGGCCAATCCTGGTACACATTCAATCTATGAAACTGATATCAATGGTAGATTTCTCTATCTTTTCTTAGCGTTTGGTTAATCAATTAGATGCTTTAACAAAGTCATGAGGCGTGTTATTGTTGTTGATGAAACATTCTTGAAGAGTAAATTCAAAGGAGTGCTACTGGTTGCAACCGCTTTAGATGGAAATTCAAATTTGTATCCTATAGCTTTTGGGGTAGTAGAATCTGAGAATGATCAGTCTTGGGAATGGCTTATGAGACACTTGAAAGAAGTTGTTGCTGATGATATGGGGTTGGCTTTTATTTCAGACAGACAAGGATCAATAGTGAAGGCAATTGAGAACGTGTATCCACTAGCAAGACATGGGATTTGTATTCATCATTTGTTGAATAATGTGGTATCAAATTTCAGGGGAAAGGGGTTAGCCGGGTTGGTTTCTAAAGCTTCATAAGCTTACAGAGAGGCTGATATCAGGAGGACGTTTGCTCATATTTGCAACATCAGTCCAGCAATTGAGACTTATCTTATGAAAGTGGATGCGCAAAAGTGGGCTAGATGTCAATTTATTGGATACATGTATAACATTAGGACAAACAATCCTGCTGAGTCTATAAATTCTGCCTTGCGTACGCCGAGAGAGTTTCCAGTAATTCTTTTGTTGGACAGTATTAGAGAAATGTTGACACGCTGATTTTTAATCGTAAGAGAAAGATTTCAAAGCATACACATCCTTTAACCATATATGTGGAGGAAAAGATTGATAGGAGAATCAAGAAGGGAAAAACTTTTGTAGTTTACCCTGTAAACGACACTAAGCTACTTGTTAAGGGCGATATAATTGACTGCCTTGTTGATTTGGATAAATGAACTTGTTCCTGTAGGAAGTACGACCTCGTGAAGATTCCTTGTAGACACGCAATAAAAGCCGGTTTCTATGTTGGTAGAGAACCACAAAAATTGACTGATTTGATGTACACCACGGAAGCTTGGAGAGAAGCTTATCAAGAAAGCATAAATTCCATTGCTGTTCCTGAAGATGCTTGGTCTGTCCCAGAAGATGTGGAAAATTTTGAGGTAATACCGCCAGAGACAAGAAGATCTCTTGGAAGAAATAGAAAACGCAGATATGAAACCGTTGAAAACAAAATTCAATCATCACAAGGATCACAAGGGGGTAAGCTTCGAAAGTGTAGTAGGTGTGGTGTTAGTGGCCACAACAGAGAAACTTGTAAGATGCCAATATAGTCGATTTGTTCGCAGTGTTTTTTGTAACTTGTTATCAGATTTTCAGACTACATTTACTTGCTTTCTAGTAACTTTGTTTCATTTTGGCATATCTTTAGTTCATTTTCTTTGTTTCAGTTTTTCAGATTACAAGCATGACTTTAAGTTAATTAGCGTCATGTTTTATTCAAGTTTGATTTTTTTTGTTTAAGTTTCATGATCCCATTCAAGTATTAACACATTGAAACTGCTCAGTCGCACAGGATCGATCGATCTAGGCAACAATATGTCGATCGTGTGACTAATCAGAAATAAAATAAAAACGCAGACCATATTTGGATCGACCTTATCGAATTCAGTCGATCGAAAGGATTGATCTATGGTGGATCGACCGAGCCTTTAGTACAGATCGATAAATCTCCTGGAAAATTATCCTAAATCGATTTTTTGGTTTTCTTTAGTTAAATCTGATTTTGTTCATTCAAGATTTCACTTATTAAACTACTTCTTTGAAATCAAACACAACATAACCACATAAAAAATGATTTCCTTCATAATCCTGATTATTCAAGTTAGAATACAAACCGACTAAAGAAAAACATAACATAAACTGTAAAAGCTAGAAAACATGCAAATAACTGATCAGCAGTGGTCGTCAGGACTGCAACTCCTACCCTGTCCTGGTGCACGTCTGCTTCTATGAAAGCGTGAACATCGCTCTGCATCTCCTGCTCCACCAAGTGGTGCATCTTCTGCGTTATCTGCCTCTGTAGTATCAGCAGGTTCTGAAGCCTCTGGAGTGCGGCAGCATGCAGGAGGTGGTGAACATCTAATCTTTGCAAGTGCACCCCAAACAGTCTGCATCATCATCAAAAGCTTGACCAGGGTATCCGCAGTCCAGGCGAACTGCTGCTGATATGTACCATCTAATGGTGGGGGTCCAAAATCAAACTGACCAGTATATTCAGGTAACAAATTCTCCATGGCAGGATCTGGAGTATGATCCACTTCGATACCAGGAATGGTGTCATCCTCACATTGAGCAGGACCCGAAGAAGAGGAAGCACGAGGACGTTTTGAAGCTGGTGGAGGAGGCGTGATAAGAAGCTCAGCAGGAGGCATGAATGTTACGTTCTCCTCAGACGTCAGAGATGTAATGGAGGGATGTGGAAGCTAGCAATGAAGAATGGTGCCATCAGGTTTGGTAAAACGATAAACTTTACCAGGGAGGAGAGTCCTGGTGTTCTGAAAAAACTGGGCATCAAATCTGGCAATCGTATCCACACAAGGAGTCTTCGAAAGATCTATTTCATGGTACTTGAAGATCCGAGTAAGTAGACTACCAATTGACTCCTCTAAAGGCTTCTTATTAAGATCACGAAGACCTCTAAACTTCCTTTCAAACAACATCTGAGCAAACAATGCTCCCATGTTTACCGAAAGCTCTGCTGGAGGTTCTTGTCTAACGCCATACTTTGGCCTGAGATTTACTGGAAGCCCATAGTGAATAAGCTGCGCTTCATCCTCAGTAAGTGATCCTGCTTCTTCCTTTCCCAATAGAAGATGACCCAAATATTTTGAAACCACTCGCAAGACCGGATTTCTGACCATAGCAAGTTTAGCTTCCCTAGAAACAGCAATCTTGTTCCACAACATATAAGCACAAGGGAACTTGGGCAAAGAACATGCCTCATATTTGGTCTCAAATCCAAAGAGTGTACACATCTCGTGTATAGACATCTCATAAAGCAGTCCATTGGATAGGAATGTAAGTTTACCTTCGCTAGCAACCTTGTTTGCCTCGGACTTGTAGTGCAACTCAACTGAAGAGAGGAATTGTATAACTAACTCTGGATAGATTGGTTGAGGATCATAGCCAAGAGTCCCAAGTCCCATGTTTTTCCACATATTTTTCACATCACGCATGATTCCCAACTCCCTTGTAGTGAAGTCACAGATGAACTTTGTTGGTTTCAATGTCATCCGCAGCAAACCATTGTAGCGAATGCAATGGTAATCACTCCAAGCAGCATTGTAGTCCCAGTTTTTGTATGGTGACCATTGTTTCAACACCGTCTTACTAACGATATCTTTTCCACAAATTTTTCTGAGTTCAGACAATGGAGTCAATGGCATCCGAGGCCAAGGGGCTGCTTCCTGAGGCGCATTACTCTCGGGCTGAGCTGAGGTCGAGGCAGCTACTGTGTCACTATGTGTTGCCGCTTCTGCTTCTTTCTCATTATTATTTTTTCCTCTTGTTCTCGCCATTTTTCTGCAAAGAAACAGTAACAAATCAGTTATTAAAAGTTATACCATGTAAAGGCCCGGCTGGGGACTGACCAGGCCAGGCTATTCAAATAAAAAAGATCTTTTATTTGTGTTTGGACGAGACAATTGACATGGATAATGATTCAACACCAATGCTACACATATAATAATGAAGCAATCGAGTTTCCATTTTTTTTTTTCAAAGAACAAAACTTCAAATTCATAAATCTATCCTAAAAAATTGATTTAAGGCATGGGGTAGGTACGAAATTGTCCCTAAACATCACCATTACACACGTTTAAAGCCAAAACGCCATAACAAACTAAAAAAGTTCAACTTTTTCATAGTTTTTTCAAACTCTTAAATTGGAGATTGAGTTTTATACCTTTACATATCGAACAAAATAGTGATAGATTCGGACAAAGCTCGTGAAATCGTG